CAGACGTAGTAAGCATATGGTTTAATATAATTTACAAATCCAACAAGAGATGGTTGCAGTGATGGCCTGAGCAAGGACCCATTCAAATGCGTCCCATCATTGTTTGGATCCCTCATTCTCTTTGTCCTGGGTCAACATCATCAACATTCAAGATGCTGTGATTTTAATTTGCCAAAACAAATCTACAGCACAGTGTTATCAAAAATAAGTGATACACTCTGGCTTAGTAAATCAGACCATAAAGTCTTCATTTGAACTGAAATCCCCAGTTGGCACGGATCCATCTTCTCCCTCCCCCAAGTACCTAAAATGAAAGAGAAGCTATTTTATTTCACACTTTCAGTATATCTCAGTGAAAATGGAAATGACCCAATAGGAGCATAAAACATAAATTTAAGACAGAATCAAGAATAGGTAAATTGTAACTGAGGCTTGGGGCTGGACAGGAAAACTAGAGTGCACACTAAATATTAATGGTAAGAAACAATCCTAACCAGGTGCCAGAAAAAATATTAAAAAGTTCGTTTGTTTTTTTTTTTTTTTCCTGTACGATGGCTCTAGTAGCGCTTAGTTGTCTTTAACTTCATTTGAAACAATTTTGTTAGATGGTATTGTGACAGCTGCCGTATCAGCGGGCATTTAAAACAAATCAAAATTGGTGAATTTTTGTGCAGGCATTTTAATATTGAAGATGGAAGAAAATGCAACATTTTCAGTGTATTATGCTTTATTATTTAAAGAAAGGTAAAAATTCAACTGAAACACAGACACAGATTAGTGCAGAGTATGGGAAAGATGGAGTGACTGATTGAACGTGTCAAAAGTGGTTTACAAAGTTACTTGGTACTATTGACATTTTGAGCAAATAATTCTTTGCTGTGGGGCTGTCTTACGTATTTGAAGATGTTTAGCAGCACCCACCCCTAGCCTTTACCTACTAAAAACCAATAGCAGGAGATAGCCAACATACTCGAAATATCCAAATCAATAAAGCTATTGGGAAAAATGAAATATGTGTCTTTTATTTTACAGAAAAAACTAAAAGGACTTTTTGGCCAACCCAAACTACAGATCTGGTTCCATTTCTGTACTACAGCACAATTTACTGGAGGAAGTTGCTTTAAAAACAAAACAAACAAACAAAAAAAGAACAGCCCTGGCCAGGTGGCTCAGTTGGTTGGAGTGTTGCCCTCTACACAAAAAGGTTGTGGGTTCGATTCACAGTCACGGCATATACCTAGGTTGCAGGTTGAATCCCAGGTAGGGGTGTGTGCAGGAGGCAACCCGTCCATGTTTCTCTCTCTCTCACATTGTCTCTCTCTCTCTCTCTCTCTCTCTCTCTCACTCACGCACCCTCTCCCTTCTCCTCTTAACATATCCTCAAGTAAAGATTAAAAAAAAATAAAGAACAGTTCAATTTACCTATCCAAAATAAACATTTGTTTTTTAATCCTTTTATATGCAGCATAAGTAGATTTAATAATGAATAAATTATATTCAGAAAATTATCTTTATGTCAAACATTTCCTAAAATGCTTAAAATAACAAATGTTATTAAAAATCAAGTTTATTTGTTTTACTTCTTTTGAAGATAATTGGTGGCATAACCAAAATAAATGTAAATTTTTCAGACTTTTACATTTCAAGACCATCATTTGTATACAAAAAGATAAATATTTTAATCTAGCAGAAGAATCACCAAATAATGACATTAATAAAGTTCTGGGGATGGACTTCTCATGATTAGAATTTACTTGCAAAGCCTCCTGGTTTCCACTAATAAACTGTAACAGGTCCAAGATTTTTTTTTCCAGATACAACCCCTGGAGGTGAATCTTCTTACTACCTACTATTGTACCCAATGTGCCCTTCTCAACCCTTGAGTAATGTCCTTTGATTTTTAAAGTAAAGTTTTTAAACACTTCTATATGAACAACTTGGCAACTTGTAGCTATAGAGTGTTTCTTTTCCTGTGCTAAATACTTTAGACTTGCCAATTTTCAGGGACAAAGAATATAGAGTGTTTCTTTTCTTGCACTAAATACTTAGACCTGCCAATTTTCAGGGACAGAGCACTGATAACTACACCTTGGTCTGTGACCTGTAAATGAAGCTGTGTTACTGTTTTACTGTCACCACCTTTCAGACACATAATGAGAAAAAGGGAAAAGCCAATTTTTTTTATAGACTCAGACACAAAATCACATCTGATTTATTATTGTGACACTTGTAATTGGTTTTTCCATTATTCCTCATTAGTTTCCCATATTGAAAGACTGTTCTAAAGAATATGATTTGGGGTAATTTTTTTTCTTCCACAGTTCACAGTTGTTTACACTGATACTTTAAATAAAAACAATACTAGGAAGTGAAATATTCACTGTAGAAAAATAATTAGCCTATTGTGAGGATTAAAGCAGCTAACAATTTTTAAAAAGCTTGGTAAACCATAGAGCAGTACAGAACATGGGATGTACGCTCCACAGGGCACAGACCATTACCCCAATGGCCTAAATCAGAGCCTGGTACATGGAAGACAGTAAGCATTTGTTGAATGAATGAAACATATGGTATAATTACTAGTAGGTAACAACAATAATGAGGCGGAAATGCATCCCCTAGTTAAATAGCGTTCTATTTCACCAACACACTTAAAAATAACTCCGGGGTTTTTTTTATTCAATAGTTAGACATGTGCACTCGACAAATGAAGGTTGAGAAAAATGTGAGTAGTCAATAGGCTGAAGTGATTAAAAATCACATTTCGTGATCGACTCCTTCGTGTCTAAAGGATCAGCACTGGTTGTTCACTGCCTTTTCAGAAAGAAATATCGTTACGATTCTGAAAACAGTAGCTTTTCTATTTCCTTTATATTCTCTGCAGAACATAATCACTTTCATCCTCATCTAATTTTCAGGTGATAGCTAACATTGTCAACACTCATTATATCTTCATAATTCTACACAGTATAAAATAATTCCTATAACATTTGGTAAGGCAACAAGCTGTTATTTAAATAAAACTGAGCAATCTTCAGAAAACTTCATTCTTTTTTCAAACTATGAAAAATTAATTCATGTAAATGGTCACTTTAAGCAGCATATTTGCGGCCACAAATTTACAAGGCATTAATTTTCTTCTTGAGACATTTTTCAAGTTTCAAAAATTAAAAGCACTCTCTACAAGAATGATTTTTTGAAATGAAAAGTTATTTGTCCAAATGAAAATTAACCTAAGATAACATAAAATCTTCAATGAGGACAAGATAAAACATTAGGAAAAATACCCTTAAACTATATCAAAACACTTCAAAGGGAAATATAAATTTGTATGCTCTCTTAATTACTCCAAAGATATTTTTGCATTTTGACACTTTAATAAGCACGCAAGAATGAATATGTTCTTGAAAATTAAAAGAATGTAGTTAGGAAACCCTCTTCTCAACAATTACAATATTCTAAATGAAACATAGGTATACAAAATTATTTTTCAGAGTTACTGACATACCTGCATTTGATTAGCATTTGCTTTATTTAAATTTAATCTGTAAAATCTACGAAGATTAAAATTAAGTAATTTTCCATTGTTGAGTAGCAAATCATGATCAGGAGCAACATAAGGTCCTTGGAAAATAACTTCTATGAACATAATGCCAAACCACCAAATGTTATGCAAATCACTAAGTTTTCCTGAAAACGTTATTTTTAAGAGACATTATTTACTAACTGTTGTCTACCCAAACAGCTTTATGTGTTTCTAATTTTCCTACTACTTCAAAAATAACAGAGTGGCCCAAATTTCCAAGGCATATAAACTTTGCCTTGACTGTACTGTATTTGTTCCCCTCCCAGGGTGCAAAAAGGCTTCCTAGAATTCTGGTTTTATACTATGTGAATGGGACCGGTGCTCATATAATTATATATATTTCTTTCTGTTAGTAACCATTTCAAACTGGTAGACCAGGGCAGGTTCTAAACATGTTAAATTCTATAAAGCCATTAGCAATAAATTTGATCCAGCAGTTTACTGGGACAATGGAATCTGCTGAAAAAGCGTCTATTAGTCATTCTGGACAAACCCAAAGGGATTAAAAGAATGAGTTAAGATCGTCTAAGGACGCAGACAAAAAACATTTAATCCAACTGGATGTCTGCTTCTGAGGCTCTAAGAGGCTTTTCCTTCTTACACCGCCAATTTGAGCAGCCTCTTCACAAGCTTTAACTAAAGTTTGGCTAAACTGTCTATCCTCTCCCCACCCACACCCCTTAGGTTTTATGCGGGACTTAAAACAAACCAAAACTGCCCTCCTTTTGGTAAACTCCCATTTATTGGTGAACTTCGTATTTCAGGTGCCAATTCAGCTCTTGCAACTCTGCACCAAGAAAAAGTCGGCCTGATTTCCTTGCACCTTCGTGATCCAAAGCCAAACTTTGCCCAACTCTCCTTCCAAAGATCTTTGCGAGCGTTCTTGAAGGGACCCGACCATCGCAACAGTTGAAGTGGCAAACACCCACAAAGCGGACCGCGCGAAGGTCTCCTTGCCAGGAACTTTCCGGAGGGCCGGTGTCGCGCGGCCTCGGGGAAAGGAGCCGGCGGGCAGGAATAGTGAGTTTGGGAAATCCCGTGAAACTGGTCCAGCGAGCCCAGAGACCTAAGGGCTGGGGCTGTCCTTTCCCATTAACAACGAGGTGCCTTCAGGGTTTCTCCCCAAAGGCCCGAAAACCCAGGTAGCCCTACCACTTGTTGAAAGAAGCCGACAGAGAGGAAGCTGGTGGTATGGGAAAGAATCGGGGGGCGGGGGAGGTGGGCGAGTGCAATCAGTTAGCGGTGGTTACCCTCTAAAATTCGAGATGTTCCAGGACGATTCTAGGCCAGAGCGGATTCCTGCGCCCTTGGGTCGGAGCACTCTCCGCTCAGGGCGCACCGCCGCGCCCCCAGACCCCAGCGCCCGAAGGCGAGGAGATGCTGGACCCGGGTGGGAAGGGGAGAGCTGGCTCACCTGGGGCTGACGGATGAAAGGTACAGTCTCGGTCCGCTGAAGCCCGGCCCGGTAGCCTTGCGCCGTCCGCCGAGGGGCTGAGCACTTGAAAAGCCCACCGCGTGCCAAAGGGCGCTGAGCCGGGGTTGACTTGTTCGGCAGCAGGGCACAGCTTCAGGGGAACGGGACTGGCAGGCAGGGACCGGACCTGCGCGCCTGCGGTGGCGGTGGCGGCGGCAGCCGTGGCTAGGGCGGCAGCCGGTCCGTGGGGCGGGGGCGGTGGCAGCCCTGGTGGCGGGGCGCCCCCAGCCCGCAGCAAGTTCTCGATCAGGAAACTCTTGCCCAGGTTGCCAAAGCCGGGCGCTGCGGGGAAGTTGAGGAGCGCGGAGGAAGCCACCATGTCCCAGTACGCGCCGGCGTGGGCAGCTACGGCACTGGGGAGCATGATGCGGCGCTCGCGGGCCGGTCGCAATCTCGCCTTCTAGCTTGCGCGCCCCAGGGAAGGAGGAGAGGGCACCAAGGACGCCGGTAGACTTGGTGGAACAGTATTATTTATTTGGGTCGGGCCTTTTCTGAAAGGATGGGAGGAGTGAGTGTGGGAGGGGGAAGCTGTGCGTTTTCCTGGCCCGCGGCGTAGGCTCCGGGGGGCTCCGGGGGGCGTCCCTCCCACTCTCTATGCAGATCCGGACCGGATTTTTTTTTTTTTTTTTTTTTTTTTGGAAAGCTGGAAGGTGTGTCCAGCTCATCCATTCATGTCACCCGGCCCACAAAGTGACAGACGCGACCAACAATAAGGGGCAGCCTCAAGAGTCCAAGCTTTGGCAAGGGGAGGGGCTGCGTAGCGGGGAGGAGGTGGGCGTGGAAGCGACGTGAACCGGGCGCGCTGGGCCCCTCTCTCGGTGGCCTTGCCGTGGAGACAGCGCTGAAGGCGCGCCAGCGAGGAGCGCCCTGTGGTCTGGAGGCGCTCTGTGTTCCACTTGTTGGGTTACTTTTCGCTCTCCAGTATTGGTATCACTTCAGGAACCAAGAGGCATCCAGGGAAAGTGAACGGAGTTTTTACTGTCTGGAAGGGCTGATGTTATTTATCAAAGTCACAAGTGTTGCTGAGACTGTTGTGGCACTACAGGTGAAAGGTTGCCTTTAAAGAGCAGGTTGTGTGCATATTACATGTGGCCCCTCCTTTTTTAAGGACGTGAACCCTAAGAAGATACCTCCTAACAAAGGCTGTCAGTGGCTTGACTGGGTTCAAATTAAAAACAAACAAAAAAACAACAACAACAAAAACCAGAGCCTAGCAACCAATTCTAAACAGGAGCCCCTCACCAAAAGCACACTTTAGGAAAAAAGTGAGCAAAACCCCCCTGTGTGCAATGTATCCTTGCCACCTGAGCCAACCCTTACAAAGGAGTTCCTGGAACTACATGTATTTCAACCAGTAGGACTGAGGCTTGCCCTGTCCAATCAGAATTGCAGAGCTCTAGCCCCCATCAACATCTTCACAACCATCAGAGTGGTTCCATTCTGACCAATCAGGACGATACCTTTTGGGCCAGTCAAAATGCAAGGATTTGAAGATATTTGCATAAGGACAGACCAGTCAGGAAGTAGGGGTTGGGGCTTCTGTCTATACAGGTCAGTTCCCCGCTGGGTTGGGGAGGCTATTTTCCTTTCCACCAAAGACCTTGTTTCCGTGGCTGGAGCTGAAACACTGAATATGTTTCACTGGAATAGAGGGTTGGTGTTGAATTGACACCAATGAACATCAGTTAAAAAGGATAAAGGAAATGACTTTTTCTTGGAGACCTTTTAAGAAATTTCTCAGTTTCCAGTAACTCATTTCCGGTCACTTTTTAATAAGATTTGATTTAGTGTTCTGGATTGGGATGGAGAGGGAAGGGCCTTGGATTTCAAAATTCAGACTGAGACTCAACAACTGTTTTCAAGCCAGTGCACACCCTCATCCCCCTCCTGAGCTGTGCCAATATGCCCTTACATCTGGAGCCTCTCCAGTTAAATTTCACAGGAGACACTCTGAAGGCTGAGGGCAGACAGAGTCTCCCTGACTGTAGGGAAGGGAAGTACTGGTGGTTTCAACCGTTCGGTGTTTATACCCCCCAGCCCCTATCTTCTAAAGGTTGTGGCTTCCTCCACTGGGAGTCAGTTACTCTCCTCCACTGTGTGTTGTTTTCCCAGCCTTGTCAGAAAATTGTTCTCTGCCCGTGTCTCCTCTCAGGATTTCTTGGTGGCTTCTTACCTTTTTTATTTCTTTACTGTCATTTAAAAGAGTCTGGGGGAAAAAAGCAGATACATAAATTGGTCAGCTGGCCATGTTAAATGGGAAGCCCCATACTGGTTTCTAACAAGTTGAATTCAAGTCTTTTCACCTCCCCCTGCTCCTCTCACGCTCCTGTGGTCCTTTTCTTCCATACAGTCTTAACCTTTCTTATCCCTTGACCATACCTGCCAGGCCCTGAACACATCTGAGTGTTCCACCTTGTGCTCCAACCCATGCTCCAGTCCTATCACTCAAGTGCTCCCAGGCATGACAGAATGGATAGTCTGTGCATATGTGGCAGCGTCATCTCTGCCTTCCAGTCCCATAGGAGCCAGCTGCAGGAACAATTGGGATGGAATATGCTTACATGAAGGACTCCTCCCAAAGAAATCCTACCCCAGCACTCAGAAAAATACAAAGTATTTTTAAGTACTTGGAAATAGAAAAATTTCTTCCACTTCGGAAGAGATAATCAAACAAATTTTGATCTAGAGACAGGGGTCTTAGTTGGAGTTGGTTAAATGGCAAATGACAGCTGGCTGGGTCCAAAACCTGGGAAGAAAAGCCACCGCCAAGTTCTAACCGAACATCGTTGGATCGTCCTCTGCAGAGAGACATAAATGAGGACACTGAATTAATTAGGATTGCGGTTTCTTTTTTTCCGTCTAGAAATATAGGGTTTTTCCCCCCAGTTTATTAGCAGCCTGATAAATAGACCCAGGACAGGTGAAAAAAGTATGTGTAAGTATTTGTGTGTGTGTGATTAAGTTTTTTTAAACCGCCAAGCAACTTTAAAGCTCCTAACTTTGGAAACTGTCTCTGTCAATGGAATGTTAAAAGCTGTGAGTTCTGTCAATTAACACTTTTCCATTGCTACTCTCTTGTGCAAAATTTAGATGAATTACTTAAAATAAGAGTGTTAAAGGCTGCCTGCAATGTTTGGGGTCACCTGTACAATTTTTCAACTTTACCCTAAGAATAATTGGGTCCCTTGCTTCAATTTAATTAAAAGCTGGCTAGTGTTGCCAGGCTAGTGAGATAAATTTCCTTTTAAAAATTCACCTGGCTGATTTGTGCTTCATTTAGTCTAGGAATGTCCAAAGCTTTTTAAAGGTCCTTGGACTGCTAAGTGGGAGGGAAGTTATTTGCAAGGCTGGTGTGTGTTACTCATGTTCATTCACTTATTGATTTAGCCAACAGACCTTTACTGAGTGTTAAATACTTACTGAGCACCTGCGGTGGCCTTGGGACTATGTAGAGAAGAAAGGTCTGGTCCTTGCCTCGTGGGTATTCACAGCCCAGTGAGGGTGAAAAACAAGTAACATCTGGGGACCGGCTTGTAATTTGGAAGGAAAAGTGTGAGAAAACTTCCAGAGGAAGTCTCTCCTAAACCGAGTCTTCAAATGCTGAAGACAGCACTTGGTGGGAGGATGCATCACAGTAGCCTTTGCGATTAGCAAGGAAAAAAAGTATTACGTCATCACTGCCATTCCCCCATCATAGCCACCATTTACCCAGTGTTTACAGTCAGCCAGGTATGGCATGAGGGGGGACCCCAAAAAAAACCCCAGAATTTATTTATAAAAAATTGTGTGTTCTTACATGTTTAAATTTCAGTCACCTTCAAAGTTCTCTCCTTTTGATGCAATACACCTATTGAGACTTTTCCACTGCCCAAAACAGTTTTTAAGCTTGTCAGTTTTGATGCCTTTTAGTGCTTCTGCAGTTTTTGTCTGTTCGTTTTTTTTTCGCCTCTTCCGCATCAGCAAACATTTCTCTTTGAGGACTTTTTTAAGGATTTCTCGTGGGGGCACGGGGGTCATGTTGTTTTTGGTCAAAAATTGCTGAACACCCAGCGCGGTGTGGGCGGGTGCCATGGATGGGTGGGTAAATCACCCATCATGAAGGCGTTTTCAGAAAAATTCACTGAAGCCAAACAGAGCCTCTCACAACAAGGCCAGCTGATACACTGATACAGATGGGTTCCCAGAAAAACTCACCCAGTGCAGGAATCCTATACAACAAGGGCCCCAACCTCCAGAAGCTAATTCCGGTTTTTTGAGTTCCCCCTTATACAAAACACTTTATAAATATTAACTCATTAATCTTTACAATAATCCTATAAGGTTGGTAGTATTATTATCTCAATGTTTCTGATAGGGCACAGAGAATTTAAGTAACTTTCCTAAAACTCCACAACTATGAGGATGATGGGACTGAGATAGAGTCCAAGGCTTTGAGTTCAACAATCACCGTTTTTCACACAGTTGATCTGCCATGCTAAATGGTGTCACCTGACCATGCAAGGGAGGCTGAAAAACAAGTATTTCATTTTTCTTTAGTAGAACGGGGCAGTGAATATTTGTGTCAAGAATAACTGCTGAGTCAGCCAACTGGCCACAGCCAGATAGGAGGCAATTGGAGAGATCCAGACACACAATGATATGGAATTTAATAAAATTAATAGCATGAAAGTGAAATGAAGGAGATAAATATTGCACTAGTTGGAGCTATAGGATTGAATGATGCAGTTGTCATCTGGGGGCGATCCTCCCCCTCCCCGTGGGACGTCTGGCAATGTCTGGAGATAATTGTATATTGTCACAATTTGATGGAGGTCGGGGACTCAGCTACTCACATCTAGTAGCTACAAGCCAGCGATGCTGCTCTACATTCCATAAAGCACAGGTCAGCTCCCACACCCAGAATTACCCAGCCTTAAACATCAATAGTGTGGTGGTTGAGAAACCCTGGTTATAGAGGATAAGGGAAGAATGTAGGATCACTTCCAGTTTTCTAGTTTAGTGACTGAGGATATGCCCACTGATCTAGTTGGGGACTTATAAAACAAGGGCCAGATTTTACATTGGGATATGAACAAAAAGGTAAAGGTAGACATTCTGGTTGTTTATGGAATCTTCCAGGGAGAATCATGAAGTGAGTAGAGACATGTGTCAAGAGACAAATGCTGGGGGACACCAACATCGAGGGACGGATAAAAGAAAGAGAAGCTGAGGAGGAGACTGAAAACAAGCAGTAAAGATTTGAAGATAGAAACTAAAACAATGATGTCATGGAAAACAAAGGAGAGCTTCAGAAAGGTGGATTTCCAGACTCTGCTAAAGGACTCTATATGCTCAGAAGTTTCTTTCTCCAACCAGAGAAATAGC